GTCTCGTCGTGTTGACCATCAAATCCTCGTGATACAGAGGTAATTTCCTATGAGAGGGGTGGGGAAAAGGGAGAAGGACATAGCTACAGGAAAAAGGGAACCGAACGATCCCCAACTTTCGAGGACCTAAAAAGGTTTGCGTTCAACCTGCTCTTCAAGGATCGTATGGTCATGTGATGATTTTGCCAAAAACTGGTTCGATATTCAAAAACTGCTTTCAGACAAGGGTTATAACTAATCATCCTGAGGAGAATGAAAGCCTTTCCACATTCAACTTTGAAGATATCGAAATAGCTATGTGGTATGCAAGAATTATAGCAGCAACGGACTTGAAAGAAGTCGCCTTCTCTAGTTCTCGACCAACAATGGACAAAAGGGAAAACGAAACTGGTTTACATCGCTACCATTGTCAAGAAAAGCTAAGGCGGTCAGAAAGGCATGATGTCACCGTTCGCAAATATCATCAAGTCAGTCGACTGCTACGCTAACACTGTTTATCAATCTTGTAATTTATCGCAACATCAGGAAGAGGTAGTGTAGCAGCATGTGGTGCACTTTCGCCCATACACATCGCCCTAGGGTCGGATCATGGATCGATATCTGCCCACACCCACCGAACGTGCCATCCCTCCAAGGTCGGTAGATGTGCACCGGTCCTGTCTGAGAAAAAAAAAACGGTTTAGGCCATTCAATACGCCACTATGATTCTGAGTGGAATGAGGGTGAGCATCCAGAAAGGAGTTGATCCACGCTATGAACTTTATCCTTTATCCTTCATTGTGGCATAGGATTGTAGGCACAGGACTCAAACGGCGAAATGCACTGCAAAACATCTAGCTAAGAACTGCCGTGCAGCGAGTAAAATGCTTCTAGACGAAAGGCAAGGAACAAACTACGTGAGAATGATAACACAATTACTAGTTGTGAAAAATAACTTAGTATGGTGATCCTTTTTGCTACACTTACTCGGAAGCCTGACCGCGCTCGCTCAATTCAATGATCTCGCGACGGCTCACGCGGGCGCGCGGCGCGGCAAAATTTTGTTAGTTGCCTCGCGGCGCCGAATAATTAGGATCCAACCATCCTATCCCTTCTCTTCGAGCACCCCAAAGCGCGACATCTCTCCCAAGTCCTTCGGTTCATACGTACTAAACAAAACACATCCACAGAGCCATCGAAATACTGAAGAAGTTTAGCAAATAAATAGAAATAATGACAAAAAAGCAGACGATGATGTCGGTAGTCGACACCACCACTCAGTTTTTCAGTTTGTCGGTAAAGTGTCTATCAATACGTCTGTTTGGTGTAGTGATTATGATAAGGAGGGTCTCATAGGAGCTGGTCAAACCGCGATATCAGTTAGTCTCAGACATGTACACAAGCACTGCAATCATATGACACTTTATTTTTCCCGAGTAAAAAAAATGTTTGATGACAAATGACAATCGCTCTCTTGTAGTGAAAGGATGGAGATGCTGGCGTTCATCGATCCCTTCATTAGATGCGCCCCAAATTCGACTTCTATTCAGAATCAAAGTGGTATGTTGAATACGTGTTTGCCCGATACAATGAATTAGTGACCAGCCCATGTACACGTCAGTGATTCTGCCCTCCCAGGCGAGACTGGTACCAATCAGCCGGCCCCGAAGGGATTTCAGGCTTGGTCGCCTATACAGACATCGATCTGGGATCCGATCCCTTGACTACGCGTGTGTGACAGGCGCCATTTGCCACCACAATAAGTAATAGCTCCAAGATAGCCTAGACCGACGAGAGCCTGGAGCCTCTAATATCTGCTTAGGTTTTATTTGTACCTTGCCAAAAAAGCGGAACACGCTTCCGGACTCTCCCATATGCTAGCTCAAGGAGTAGAAGGAACCACCTCCCTTTATAAGGTGACAAGAATGACCTTTCGAAAAAAATCAGGTGACTAGCCATCGTCGTTTCGAAGAGAAGTCACGAGACTTAGCGAAAAAGCCTGCTGTACTATTTTATGTACCCTAATACTTGTTCTTGTACTATAAATAACGGTCTGAGCTATTTTTGAGATGTAAGATCAACTAGTAGTACAAAGTGATTGCATGCCTTGTTGTTAATGTTCAAGTTGTCAGAGAGTCGAATATAGGATCTGAACTTGTCCAAATGGATCGGGTCGACGGTACACGAGACAATAATTGGCATCAGAAAGATTCGTTGGGTGATGTCACCTTCCCACATGACCCAAATGTAGTTGTAAGCCAAAACCACATCAGCTTATAGACACCGGTGGGAAGAGCTTAAGGTGAGGGGAAAGACAAACTGGTAAAGAATAGCAAAGTATTTAACCAGGAAATGAAATGGCTGGCAATCGAGCATAAAATAAACTCGCAGAAACCTTGAATTCGATCTTAACCTCCAGCTGACCACGAATCCGTAGCACTACAGTAGCTCCTAGCTGGTCTGAAGTTTGTAGTAACTTCATGTTTTACTATTTGCACCCATTAATGTGGGACTAAGATATACAAGGAAGTCAAATCCATGGCTCATTCCTATAACCCATTGATCAGCGCTTGCGGATCTACTCTTGTGTCGATACAAAAGGAGATGTATACAATCTGGGAGGCCCCGATAAAGAGAACTACTTATTTAACACTTAAAAACGAGCTGGATCACCCCCAACGGAAACATTGAAATAATTGAAAAAGAAAAAAAAAACAAACACAGAAGGGCTGCCGAATGCAGTCAATGCTACCGAATGCAATCAATCATAAACAAGGTCTTTCAATGAAAATCAAAATTCCACTGAAATATCGCCCAGCAATAACGATCAGTTCGAAGGTGGGGTTGTCGGATGATGATGGGTTATTTCTGCTGATCGACAGCAACAGCTGACTGGTACACTTCAAACCATGCGTCCCCTCCCCAGTTTCAGTCGAAATTGAAATTATTAATATGAATTAAGATGTGTCGAAGCTTTTATCCTCCCACACGAATCCTGTACCAATGAACCGACCAAGGAAGATTGGAAGACTTGGTTGGCGAAGGCGAACACCACGGGTGTGAACTCCAGACCTGGCATGTGCGATAGCTATTCACTTGCCGCTACACCACCTCCGCCCTCGAGCTAATAAATTATTTAATAATAACGAAGTTTTAACAGAAAGGGGAATAGATCTAACAGATGTTCGGATAGAAACCTAGCCGTCAAGTGAGGTAATGACGAAAATACTGGTGTACGGAAGATTACCATGAAACGTGACCGTCGACAAGACGCTCGCGCGCGAGTGACGGAACGAAGTCCAAACTCAAGAAGTGCGGACGCACTCTCTACCGGTGTCGCTCGATGGTCGGCGTTTTTGTGGTGGCGTACGCTGTCTATACCAAATCGCGGAATGCTAGGCTCCAAAGAACGATCGGATCGTTTAGGAATTTTTGTGGGGCATTCTGATAAGATTATCACTTAGTGAATGGAAAGGGCATCTTTGTTCGCATGGTCTGATTGCCCTTTTGAAGGGGAGAAGGGAGGGAGGCTGTTCAAACCACAGTGAAGCCTATGATCGCCTTGACTGACCAAACAGATTCCAGGTTGTCACGTGCTGTTCTATGACATTCTCTCACCCATGAAAGTGCAAAGAAACTTATTTTTAAACATTTTTGACTATGAAATTCGAGAAAGCATGGCAACATGTTATTGTGACTGAGCTAAATAGAGGTAATACTCTGTGGAACCCATGCGTTTCTCCTATTATATGAACAAGTAAGTTGAAGGGTCGATTTGTTTGCCGGTCTGTCTGTCCCTGGAAATTTTCGCTCGTGATTGCGATAAAGAGTAATGTGAACCCCTTACTACTCGCCCCCGCTAAGTGAGATGCTGACAGTAGATAGGTAGCAGGAGGTAGTTCAGAAAGGCTAGGTAAACCAGATGGGTATGACCATAATGATAACTCCAGACCATCGCTCATATGGGTGCTTCTCCTTAGTGATTGTGGGTAATGATTGATATCGTTTTGTGAGGTGACTGACCATTAAGTCTCGGATTTTTCACAAGGGAGCAACCATTCTGTTGAGAAATCAGCTCGGGAGAGGGAGCTAGGTAGGGTGAGAGATATACAGTACTGTTATACCAGTTGATACTCATTATCACTAAAGACCTTTCGTATTGCACTGCGAGTTGTGCATCACCACGTGATCTTCCTTATTATTGTTCCGGTTACATTATACACCTTAATGCGTACATGACAGCAAGGAGCGCTTCTAAAGCTCCCTCCGGAGGGATCTGGGAAGGAGGGAGGGCCGCTCCTTGCTTTAGAAGCGCTCCTTGCTTGGGTGAGTGTCGACCCGCGACTCGAACCCTGGCCAATGCGTGTGTGATAGTGCGCCACTTGCCGCTACACCATACCTGAAGTACTTTAAGCGCTCCTTGCTTGGGTGAGTGTCGACCCGCGACTCGAACCCTGGCCAATGCGTGTGTAATAGTGCGCCACTTGCCACTACACCATCCCTGATGTACTTTTCAAACAAAAGGTGAAGGATGTAGTCTTCGTGCATTGAACAATCCTGTCTGAGGGATGGGCTTTCGCATTCGACTTCCACTCAGAATCCTAGTGGCGTATTGAATGCGTATGTGGCCTATAAATGACTTGCGGTGGCCAGGCGATGTACAATTCAGTGCTTTTATCCTCCCAGACGAGTCTGGTACCAATTCGCCGACCACAGATGGGTGTAAGGATGGTTGGCCTAGGCGGATACGGGTGCGGGATTCGAGCCCGTGACCATGCGCGCGTAATAGTGCGCCTCTTGCCATTACACAACCATTCACTTTATGAGTACCACATATAATACTCAACCCTTTCCCCATGAATTTCCCTTTTCTCCTGATCCTTTCTTGTAATCTTGCAAAAACCCGGAGCAGATGTCAATTCAAAGTGCAATTACAAGCGTCTTCATTATTTATCACCGCATTAATCATACAATCAGTACAATGGTGGTACGTATCCACTGGTTCTAGGGAACAGGAAATATGAACTTCGATCGGTGTATCCCACCCCGGTACGTCCCATCAAATATCGTGAAGACCTCGGATTGAATTGCCTTTCACCTGTAATGAGGAATTCATGAGAGGAATTTGAGTTTTGATCGAAAAAATCTACCTCTGTGACTATACATGTGATATGCCAGTTGACGACTGTCTGGATAACTCTTTGAGCAATACTCGCAAATGTAGGGCTTGGATCGGACATCCGAATAGACCTGAAAACGGCGAGAATTGATGGCAACCTTTTCTTTTTACACTTTTGTCCTCTTCACAACGAAGGAAAGTGCATTTTTGCCTCCAGGTTGTGGATGGTGCGTTTGAAAGTTGGGTTTGTTGAGTGACTTAGAAGTTAACGACAGTACGAACATTAATGCTCTATATCTCATAATCCATTCACTTCAGTCGTATATTTAATCGACCACCGCGGCATTCTTGACCTTCTTGGGCTCTCGCCTCACTGCCGACAAATTACTGAATTCTGCTCTTCAGTATAAGTATGGTTCGCCTAACTTATATACCTCCCTAGATAAGGATATGGAAGGGTTCTTAAATAGAATAATGAGTAAAGGATAAAAGCTGTGGCAATAATGAATCCCCTTTCTGGAATCCGCCATCGCATTCGACTCTTATTCGGAGTCGTAGTGGCGTTCTGAACGGTATATGGCCTATACATGACTTTCAGCCCATACAAGTCATTTCTTTCGTCCTACCAGACGAGTCTGGTACCAATTAAGCAACTCCGGAGGGATGGAAGGCTTGATAGGCCTGGGTGATTATTAGTTCGGTGTTCGAACCTAGAATAATAGGTGTGTAGTAGTGTCTAGCTGGGACTACCGCTATCCTAACGAGTAGAATTATGGGATACTATCGAGGTTTAGGACTAAATGCCGTTCAGGAAGCTTGTCGTCAGTAACAGTTTATAGCCTCACTAATTGCAAATATTCGCTTCTTGCCATCGATGAAGACAGAGATTAAAGAAGAACAACAACTTAGAAGGGTCGGAACCTTCAGAGGATGCTTCGGCTCGAATCCTTCCTCCATATATGCTGGTGTCGGCATGTCTTGTAATAGAGCGACTCGACTCGTAGAGGGATGGACAAGCACTGGGCACCCATAGAGTTCCTAAACGATAGTTCCATGCGTCACAGTTGCTCGCTTCCATCAGACCACTGTTTTCTAATCTACCTGACTTACCTAACCTTATCGTTTCTTACCGTACATTAACTTAATCTACCATTAATTATCGTAACCTACCTTATCGGCTTTCTCTTTTTCAATATCTTCCGGATGTTTGTGATAGAGCATCTCAGTGTAAGAAAAGAATGTTCGACCGCATTCACATTTGTATCCTTTTGCATCTGGAAGAAAAAACTTCAGAAAAAAGTTCAAAGCTTGCAAGAATTATCAATGGCCTTTCAGCAGGCAGCTGTCGTTCACAATGCTCTGCTGCTGAAAATAAAGTCCAAAGAAATGGGACGGCTGGGACGGCTTTTGTAAATTTTTGAGCTCTCAAAAACGTCCAGGAGAAAAATCCGGACAGGAGGAGGCGAGGGTACGGAGAAACCCTGACTTGCACAATCTTTTTCTGCGAAAAGTTTCGTTTTCTGGTACATGGTCCCCTTTGAAACCCTTCTCATTCAGCTCTGTCCTATCGGTATCTTTAGCTCTTATGAAAGGCCCCACAGGGCCACCACATCACAACGATTGGGGTTAAGTCGCTAGAATAGCGGATGTCTGAAATGGGATCGCTTCAATGAGCCATGAGCTTCCCTGGCTACTTGCGCTTTAGCCCCATGGGATGTTCCCCCTCCCCAGTCCATTCAAAATCGTACTAGCATAACGAACGCGTGTTTGCCCATTCAATAACTTGTGGTGGCCAGTTGTATATATCGGTGCTTTTTTCTTCCCGGAGGGGTCCGATACCAATCAGTCGCTCCGGGAAATGGCAGGCGTGTTTTATTTCGGAATCCCGCTCACTGCAAAGTGTCCAGCTTTTTTCCCGTCGGCTATAGCAACGAACACGCTTCGTCTCAAACATCTGCAGCGTAGTGCAGTGATACAGCTGGCTGAGTACGAAGTTCAGACGTTGTAATGGTTTTTCGTGGCCAGCTCAAGTACTACTACTGAACGGAGAAGCATTACAACACGTAACATGCTCTTTCGGAGAGGAAATTCCTCACATTATTATTCATAGCCGAATGTAAAATCAAAGAGGAGATCTGGAACAAATAATCCGAGCATGATTACTCAACAGATCGCCCTAGCAAGGAAGACAGTCAGAGGCAGTTCCCGTATCATCCTGGTAAAGGAGTAAAGAGTTGAACTAGGTGATGAAAGGCAAGAAATGCAAGAAATAATCGAATCTTTGAAATTCTCAGGGCAGGGATCAATTTATTTTTATTTGTCTCCTTTGCTTATGATCTGCAGACCGTTCCATATGGTAGAAAGTATAGTAGGAACTATTACTTCACATCTCTCTCTCATTCGAGTTTTTTCTTGGATACTTGATCGGAGTTAGATCAGCATGAGTTTTTTCAGCCAACTACTATGAAACTAGAGCTAGGAGCTTTATTACACCCTCTAGAAAGAGGGAACGGCTGGGCAATGGCCATCGAGAGCCGTTTAGAAAAACAGTAAATGGTCACACAGGATCCGATACCAAATAACAAGTAAGTGTTCGTTATTATGAGCCAACCGTCTCCCTATGAAGTAAGTAAGTTCCCTCGAAGCCTCTCTTATGTATATCTCCCTCTGTGCTCATTAGAAGGGTGAAATATGAAGTAAATCTAAGGGAGTGCTGTAATGGAAAGTGAGTTGTGGCATGACCAGAAGCGCCTTATTGTAAGGGCGGATGGGTACACCATAAGCTTCCTGTGGGTCGTTATGCAGACAGATTCAAGTGCTCCGGAATCCTCCCGAACAGCAATTGTACAAACTGTACAATGTTTCAACAGACAGCCTCGTCGCGATAGAACAACCACAAAAAGGTCTTCGACTCACCGCCATGTTGTTGTGTATGGTACTCGAGTTGACAGGCGAATTCAAATGAGTCACCGCATTTGCCACAGACGAAAGGCTGTAAATAAAGCGTTTCAACTGATGGATGATTGAAGTTTCCTCATCATCTCTTCTTCCTATGCTATTCTGTTGAAAGGTTTTTTNTTTTTTCATTTATGGAATTTGATACTCTGTTTTTCATCTTCAAGACATTCCACACTCGAACTCAATTTAGCCCCGAAAACTACAAGCAGCTGCGGCAGCGGCTTGAAAGCCGATACGAAGTGCTGCTGTTTCGGAAAAAAAGTTTTGCGAACAATGTTATAGGCCACAAAGAGCATTTGAGAGCAATGCTTCCTTGAAAATAACCTCCTACGTGTAACTGTAGCTATCAGAAGAAAGCCAGTGTTTCCGGGAATCAGAAACTCATCTCAGATCTCACCATATTCTCGCTTTTACAACTCGTAGTGACTGGACATCATGCTTTTCTGACTAGCAAAGGTGAATTGGTAAAAGGGAAAACAAAATCCCGACTCGTACACCAATTTAAAAGAGCCGATATGTGGAGTGCGACTATCCTCCCGGACGGTAGTGTGCCCATTTACCGTACTTTTGGGTTCAAGGCTTGGTTAAATTGAACGAAATAACTGAGTATGAGGTGAAAATCTACAAAAAATAACAGATTTCGGGCATTGATAGGCATTAACTATTGGTTTAGGAGAAGTCCAAAAGCCATTTAATCGTTTCGGGATTTGATTCTATGGTCATAGGGGCGACAGCTCATCTGCCGATATTATCCAGCCATCGATCGGCCTCCAGCAAGCACCTAGTTATAGACTTAACAAAAGGGTCTGCACATCTAATGGTTCCTACATTCCTTATACCTTGTTCAGGTCAAGTATACCCCCAAAAGTGACCGCATTCTCTTGCCACAGCAGAGTTTCTTGGTGAATTCCGAGAGCGGATTTAATTCATGTCTACAGCTTCCTTCCTATTCTTATTGACAACAGATCAATCGAAACAGTAATTTAAAAGCAAAATCACCTGCGAGATGTTATGTACGCGTTCGTGAGCTCTCAGTGTATTCATATAGTTGAACGTTAATCCACAGAATCGGCATTTATAGAATACGAATCCGTTGTCATCTCTTTCTACTACGGTAAGTGGGTCCGAATCGGAATCCTAAAAGCAGAACAGAGTAAGTTTGCGCAAAGAAATAGAACGAAAACTCAAGGTGTATGTGAACACTGTTCTCCAAGTAC